ATCGACACAGGACACTAGACCCAGGACCTCAGGCCTCATCAACACAGAACACTAGACCCAGGACCTCAGGCCTCATCACCACAGAACACTAGACCCAGGACCTCAGGCCTCGTCGACACAGGACCCTAGACACAGGACCTCGGCCTCATTGACATAGGACACTAGACCCAGGACCTCGGCCTGGTCAGGCCAGGGCTGCAGGTGGAGAGCAGAGCTGCCTCTCTGATCAGGAGGGTGGAAGCAGTTGCGTGGCCAAGCCCCTTCCCCACAGCTCTGTTTCCCCTGGACTAAGTGCCCCCTCCCGCGGGTGGCTGGCCCAGCCCCAGGCGTGTCCTGGCCTGCTCCCCACTCCCAACAAGCAGCCTCATCGTCGCAATGATAGGAGCAGAGCCACAGCCCTACACCGTCCACCACCCCACACCGCAGGCCTGTGGTCAGAGGAGCCCACAGGGCGGTGTGAGGCCAGACGGGACACAGGAGGGGCTGGGACACACAGACGGGGCACAGCCCCCCGGGCCCCTGCCACCAGGACGGCAACGAGCCCTCAGGGGCTTCCGTGCCCAAGTCAGCAGCTGCCTTTCAAGGGGAGCTCGCATCCTGGGTCTCCCCGTCGCCCGGGGTTACTGGGTCAGCTGTCGCGTGGAGGCATCTCCTCCCTCGTCCTCCACTCCTGGCTGCTGGGGGGGACCTGGGAGGCGTCTGGACTCACCCTAAATTAGAGGCCACGTGCCCAGCCGGGGCAGGAGGTGGCCCTGGCACAAAGCTGACCTGAGGGGCAGGGGTGGGAGCTGGGGAGCCCAGGTGGAGGCCCCAGATCCGGTTCAGCCCAGGGCCCAACTCCCTGTGCCAGCTCCCTCACATGCACGGGAGGCCTGGGAACCAGGAGAGGCCTGGGGGAGGGCGAGCCCAATGCCCTGGCGCCGGAACGGAAGGGAGGCCTCCAAGGACTGACCCGACAGGTTGGGCTCGGGTCAGGAGAAAGAAAAAGCCACACGCGAGGGCCCAGAACCACTTGCTGGAAGAGGAACCGGCCTGGACGCACGATGTCCACTGACGCCTGGGCCTGGACGACTCGCTAGGTGCCGCACGGTCAGCGGGCGCTGGACCCCGGGCTCAGGGACTAGACTAAGAGGCACAGTAACTAGAGAACAGAGCGCGGGGCCCCAGTCCTGACTGGGCAGTTCTAGGTACTTCAGGGACGGTGGGTGTGCACTTCCACCAGAGCATCCGCCGGCAGCCATGGGCCCTGCAGCAGTGCAGCGAGCAGATATGCACAGAATGTGGGCCCTCGGCCGTGCTCACGGGACCACCTGCCCTGTGGGCCTGGGATCGGAGGGCTGGACAAGCCCTCGAGATAAGCTGAGGTCAGCCTGGGGGTGCCTCCTGTCCGGGAGGCCTCCTGCAGGGCGTGGATTCCGAGGGAGGAGTGGGTTGTTTTCTAAGGAAATGGGGAGGGTCTCAGGGGAGGGCGATGACTGGGCTGAGGCTTGTGGGGTTGCCACGGGTCAGGATGGGGTGGGGCGGACCGGGGAAGCAGGTTTCCCCCGACGACGGGACGGATGGGTCTGGGACCGCCACTGCTCACCTGGGCCTGGGGCCGGGGCGGGAGGGGCCCCGTTGCCTCGCTGCCACTCCCCCAGGCAGCGCTGCAGGTCCCGCAGCTTCTTCTCTTCCTGCTGCACCGCGTGCTTCCGCTGCCGGCGCGCCTGGCGGCCCAGGTTCCCCTCCCGGCACAGGCGCCGCGCGGCCTCGGCGATCTGCAGCTGCAGGGCCAGCTCCCTCTCCAGGCTGCTCAGTGGGTCCTGGGCGAGGACGCAGTGAGTGACACCGGAACAGCCCAGACCCCCAGCAGACGGCGGTGTCCAGGGCCCAGGCCTCCGAGCAGCTGGCCCAGGACCCACCCAGCAGCCTGACCCCGAGCCAGGCGGGGAGGGACTGAGGTGGACGCTTCCCTCCTACCCCAAAGGGCCGGGCAGACGAGCCACCCGTCACACCACGGGGAGGGACCCGAGGGTCCAAGCCACCCCACAGCCCGCCTCCCGTGCTGAGAAAGGGGAGGATGGCCCCAGGAGCCAGAGCGACCCGTCCACACAGGCCACTGCCTCTCCGGGCCGGCTGCGCTCTTGGCTGGCCTTCTGCCCTCAGGGAACTGAACCCCATGTCCTCCCTTGAGGTCCCCGCCCTCCCGGCACTGGCACGGCTTCCCTGAGGCCACGTGAGCTACACGTTGGCGGGTGCCCCTCGTCCACGCAGAGCCAAGCGGCCTGAGCTGTGTGATGCTAGAGCAGAGACCCCTGCGGAGGGGAAGCAAGGCCTGGGGACCACAGCCGCCAGCCTCGGGGAGCAGGGACGGCGCCCTGCAGCACCTCACCTCTCTGTGCAAGGCCCACTCGTCCAGTTTGTAAGCGGCTCCGATCCTGCGGCGGACCTTGGGGGCCTTCTCCCCCGGTCTGAAGGGGTACTCTGCAGGCAAGATGCCCGTCAGCTCCTGCGGGGGAAGCAAGTTCGTGCCAAGCCGCTCTCCACGCACCCAGCCCTTGGCCGAGCAGGAACAGCCCGTCCGGCGGGCCCTGGGTGACCTGTGCCGCCCTTCCCCAGAGGCCTCTGCCCATCTCCGCGCGTCCCAGCGTCCAGGGCTGTCCCTCGTCCGGGGATCTGCCCTGGCCTGGCTATGGTCCCCTGCAGCCCCTCCTCTGCCCGGCCATATGCCTGGGCCCTGCGGGGAGAGCTGTCCCCTCGCTGTGCCATCCGGTGCCCCGTCGGACCCCCAGAACTTTCTCAGGACCGGGCCTCCCACTCCTCGGCACCGACAGCCCAGCACGCGGCTCCAGCCCCCGGGGTTAAGCCCGCGCTTGTGTGCGGCGGGGGCCCAGCCTCACCGCTTCCCGCAGGCAGATCCTCCTCAGCTCCTCCAGGCAGGCCTCCAGCCGCGCCTCCAGGGCCCTCTGCTGCTTGCGCACCGCGTGGGTCAGCTCCTTCGCGGGGGCCACCGGGCTGTCGGGGCCTGTGGCGGGGCAGGGGCGCGCGCTCAGGGGAGCCTGTCCCAGGCGCCGTGGGACGCCCCCGGGGCTGTCGGCGCACACGCGCGCTCAGGCGGCCTCACGCCTGCCCAGGCTGCGGGCCGGCCGCCACAGCAGGCCGTGTCACACCCAAAAGGCGGCGTGTACCCCGGCGGCCCGACGGCACCGTTACGGCTCGGAGGGACGGGCGGCCCCTCGGCCGTGTGCGGTGAGGGCCAGGCTGTGGTCAGAGCCCGTTCCTTCCCGCCCTTCCCTTCCCAGCCGCCACCCGTGGCAGGTGCCTTCTTCCTTGTCTGCTCCCCCACCCCTCTCACACACACTCACACACATACACACTCACACACACACATACACACATACATACACACACATATAGACACATACACGCACGCACATACACACATTCTCACACACATACACACACCTACACACACACACACACACACACACTGCACGCGCATCCTCTCTCTGTCCAAACCAGACCCGACTGGGCCCATCGGCTGTGGCCAGCCTGAGCCACAGCCCCTTCCCGCGAACCAGATAAGAGTTTTCAGCTTCTTAGGAATCATGGGGCCAGAGCTGAACACGGCAGGTAGCTGTTCAGATAGGATTGACACTCCAGGCCAGAGCCCCCCCTCCCACCCAGGGAGGAAAACTCTCAGCCCTTCCAGGGTCTGCACCCACTTCCCCGCACAGTGGCCTCCCCGCCGCCCCCGCCTTGGGCCCCTCAGCCTGGCCGGGCCTGGAGCCTGGGACTCGAGGAGTTGGTGGGGTCGGGGGCGCCCGAAGCCCTCACCAGACTGCAGGATGATGCCGCTGTCGGTGTCGCTGACCTCATCCTTGCTCTCCATGGTGGACTTCTGGGAGGAGGGGGCACAGAGGAGGAGGGGCCGACACCCTTCCCAGCCTGGGCCAGGATGTGCAGGTGGCCTGGAGTTTCCCCAGCTTTTAAAAGAACAAAAAATGATACACGTAAACCCCCTTGCCTCCAGACAGAGCTGTTGAGTCAGGTGGGTGAGGGTGGGAGATGTGGTGTGAGGCCCGTGCTTCCGGGGAAGTGAGTCTGGGATGGGGGTGTCAGTGCTAGGGGCGCTGCGGACAGAAGGCTCTGTGGGCCTCTCCAGCGCACCTGCCCTGGGCCCAGCCTGGGCCCCTGCCGCCTCCTTCCCAGAGAGGCCTCCGAGCCCAAGGGGTGACAGCAGTGGTGGCCACAGGGACCACGACACTGGGGAGAAAGCCCATGAGGACAGGAGCAAAGAGAGAGGATGGAAAGGAGGGAACAAGAAAAAGGTGGGAGGACAAGTCAAGGAGGAAGGGAAGGAGAGGAGGGAGGGGAAACGTCGGTGCCAGGAGGGAGGCACGGCTGACGGTCCTCAGCCCAAGACCCATCCCGCCGCCCCCGTGGGTGAGGGCACCGGGCACTCAGCCAGGCCCTGTCCCGAGGCCCACAGCCCAGGCTGCCTGCTGTCTGTCTACACCAGGCGGTCCACCCTAGGGCAGGTGCCCAAAGCCGTGAGCCAACTCCCGGGCCACCAGCTATGCCTGGGAGGCGCCTCGAAGGGGAGGGGGCCCGGACCTCACACCCCACAGCCGGGAGCGAGGCAGCGCGCACGTGCACGTGTGTTGGGCGTGTGCTGCCGGGGCTGGAGGGCTGACCAGAGCCGAAGCTGCCCCAGGATGGGAAGGAGACCACGGCCACTCTGCTTGCCCGGGCCGGGCGCACGTGTGCAACTCAGGTAGAGTTCCAGGTGTGCGTCTGCCGGCAGCAGTCACCCGGCCGCACCCGCTGGCGCCCCCTCTCTCCTCGCCAAGTCTGCACCCCTGCTCAGGGTCCCAGCTGGCCGGGGCCTGGCGGCGGCTGGCTGGAGCCAGGGTGGGGAGCGCGGGCGGGGCCCGGGCAGGCGGCCTGGAAGCCCAGCCACCTGCTCCCTGAGTCAGCCATTGAGCAACAGTCCAGAAGTCCTCCGGAGTCTCTGTCTGGAGCTTCTCCTGCTTCTCCTCAGTGGGAGACAAGCTGAGCCCGCAGCCAGGCCCCTGGAGGAGGGACCGCTGACGGCCAGGCCCCAGGAGCACCTCTCTGCCCATGGACAGCTTTACAGACCTACAGAAAGAGCACAGCCTAGCAGAGCACCTTGGGCCTGTTAAAAACCTCGCCCTGAAAACAATAGGTACCTGCACTTTGGAGTTTCAGTTCTCCAAGGAAGTCTAGAGAGTGGAGGGGAGGATTTTTTTTTTAAAGTTTATATGGGGCCTCTGCGAAGATGCCAAGGAGAGAGCCTGGCCACACGTTCTGGGAACCGAGACCAGGGTACTGGGCGTGAGTTAGCTCTGCCCGGTTCACCCTCCCAAACCCTCATCCCTCCTGGAGATGGAGCGGGACAGACAGCAGGCAGCTCCCCCGCCGCCCGCTGCAGAGCCCTGGGCAGCCTGTGGGCCTCCCCAGCAGCCAGGGGCAGGGCCCTGTCAGAGCAAGGAAGCAAGGCCGTCCTAGCACGTCTGCTTGGACGAGGGAGGGGGTGATGTGGGAGGGAAGCCATCCATTACTCACACTTACTAATTAATTATTAACCATTAAGGAGCGCATTGGGAAGCTCTGACAACTCAGACCTGCTTCTCATGCTGTTGCCTGTTGCAGAGTGAGCAGGAATTGCAGGGACCGAGGGGTGGCCCGGCAGAACGGCCCCCTCAGCCCCTTCCTCCCTCTGGCCAGGGTCGGGGGCAGGCCTGCTCCAAGTAGGGCAGAGAGCACGGACCGGACGTTGGGAGCCCCAGATTCCAGCCTGGATCCTGCCATCACCTATGTGATCTTAGGGGAGCTCACCTCACCTCACCTGGCTGGGCCTCCCGTCCTCACAGGCACGGTGACAACTGGACGGTACCCGGGGCCCTGGCCAGTCCCCACACTGAATCTGGATAGCGCCAGGTTGAGCAGGAAGGACCCACACGTGTGCGGCCCGCTCATCTGCCCCCCCGGGGGCGGCCCTCCAGCTTCGGGGACCCTGTCCCAGGGCCTGCAGGCTCCCGTGGGTGTTGAAGGCATGCCTTTCAGATACAGGCAGTTCTGGGAATATCCCCGCCTCTCCGCATGGGAACCCTCCCTGCCCTCCAGACCCGCAGCCCCAGGTGGCAAGCCCTATCCGTCCACCCCGAACAGAGAAAAAGAACGGAGAACAAGCAAACGAACGCAAACCCCCAGGAAAAGGCAGAGGAGGACAACAGGGGAGGAAGGGGAGCGCCGTGCACTTGCCCTCGGGCTGAGCCACTGGGACCCTCTCCCGTCACAAATGTGGCCCCAAAGGGGGGCCCTGGGACTCTCTCGTCCCAGCCTTCCCCGCTCCCGTGGAAACTGAGGCCTGGGAACTACAGTGCCGGGTCCTCCGAGCCCACCGGCACCCCCATCACCCCTGTGCCCTGTGGCTGACGGCCACTGCTGGGCCCCCCACCCCTAGGCCGGCTTGCCCTCGCCCCAAAGACCCGCTCCAGCTGCCCCACCCTCACCTGCTTCCAGCTCAGTCCAGGAGTCCGGGAAACGCCCCCTGGTCCCAAGTCAGGGGACCGAGGGGCCTGGCATGTCTCCTCAGGGTGTCCCAGGCCGCCCCGTGCTCTCTGGCCCACTTCCGCTCCCCACGCCGATGGCCGGTGGCTGTCCCTCCCCTGGTCCCGCCTGTGTCCCTCCCAGGCTGCCCGGCCAGGGGAGCCAGGTTACTTGTTCCAACCTGAGTCAGAGGGAGGAGCGGTGAGCAAGCCCTTCCCAGAGCAAAGCCTGCCCCACAGGCAGCCCGGGCCTCTGCACTTCCGGGGGCCGCACAGGCGGGAGAAAGGGGCTCCCCACGGAGGAACCCCAGAAGAAGGCAGCAGGGATCAGGCCCTCACGGCCTCAAGGGCCCCCCTGCCCTGTGCTGAGCCGCCCGCCCCCCCAGATTCCGGCTCCGCGCAGCGCCCAGAGCAGGCGAAGACCCCGGCGCGTGGGGACCACCGGCGAGAAACCTACATGCTGACAAGGAGGGTCCCTGCTCCCCAGACCCTGAAGCGGGGCCAAGGCCAGATGAGATTAGAAACTCCGGGCCGGGCCGTGACCCCGGAACTCCACGCGGGGCGGCTCTGGGGTCCCACAGCTGGCCAGGCTGTTCTGATCACAGACATTTCCCTCCAGAATCCTCATGGCCACCACCTCCCTGTTTATCTTTACAGCCATCCCTCCACAGGGCCCATGGCGCATTGACCTGGACCCCAGTCCTCTCCCTAGTCCACAGGAGGGCCACTGGGACCCCGGGGTCTAAGCTCAGTCCCCAACCACCGGGGGCCAGAGACCAAAATGGAACTTGTTCCCTACAAGAAAGGAGCCTCTGGGTCTCCACGCCACTGACCTTCAAGGAAAACCAACAGTTTGGAATTCACTCTATTTCATTGGTGGAAGCAAGGGCCAAAGACACTGTGACCCATCACAGGAGGCAAGAAGACAGACAGCGCTGCACACGAAGGAGACCCCTCAAGGCTTAACGCCACCTGCTTTTCTCACCATGCCCCTCACCTTGGGATCCCAGCACTCACGAGTCTCCAGTAGCTCCACTCCCCCAACACCAAGACGACCTCGCCAGACGCTAGACCACATCCCCAGCCCCTACACCACCTCCCCAGCCCCAAAGACCTCCTCCCCAGCCCCAAGACCACCTCCCCAGCCCCACGACCACCTCCCCAGCCCCACGACCACCTCCCCAGCCCCAAGACCACCTCCCCAGCCCCTAGACCACATGCCAAGCCCCAAGACCACCTCCCCAGCCCCACGACCACCTCCCCAGCCCCTAGACCACATGCCAAGCCCCAAGACCACCTCCCCAGCCCCAAGACCACCTCCCCAGCCCCTAGACCACATGCCAAGCCCCAAGACCACCTCCCCACCCCCTAGACCACCTCCCAAGCCCCAAGACCACATACTCAGCCCTTAGTCCACCTCCCCAGCCCCAAAGACCACCTCCCCAGCCCCAACGACTACCTCCCCACCCCCTAGACCATCTCCCCATCCCCAAGACCAAATACCTAGCGCCAAAGACTACCTCCCCAGCCCCTAGACCACCTCTCCAGGCCCTAGACCACCTCCCCAGCCACAAGAGCACCTCCCCAGGCCCTAGACCATGTCCCTAGCCCCGCGACCACCTCCCCAGCCCTATATACTACCTCCCCAGCCCCTAGACCACCTCTCCAGCCCCAAAGACCACCTCCCCAGCCCCTAGACTCTCTCCCTAGCCCCTAAACCACCTCCCCAGCCCCAAAGACCGCCTCCCCAGACCCAACGACCACCTCCCCAGCCCCGAGACCACATCCCCAGCCCCAAAGACCACTTCCCCAGCCCTAAATACCACCTCCGCAGCCCCTAGACCACATGCCGAGCCCCAAGACCACCTCCCCAGCGCCTAGACCACCTCCCCAGCCCCAAAGACCACCTCCCCAGCCCCAAAGACCACCTTCCCAGCCCCTAGTCCACCTCCCCAGCCCCAAAGGTCACCTCCCCAGCCTCTAGACCACCTCCCCAGCCCCAACGACTACCTCCCCACCCCCTAGACCACCTCCCAAGCCCCAAGACCACATAGCCCTTAGTCCACCTCCCCTGCCCCAAAGACCACCTCCCCAGCCCCTAGTCCACCTCCCCAGCCCCAAAGACCACCCCTCAGCCCCAGGACCACTTCTCCAGCCCCAAAGACCAACTCCCCAGCCCCTAGACCACCTCCCGAGCCTCAAAAACCACCTAGCCAGCCCCAAGACCCCGCCCCCAGCCGGAACACCACCACCCCAGCCCCAAAGACCAACTCCCCAGCCCCTAGACCACCTCCCCAGCCACTAGACCACCACGCCAGCCCTAAGAGCAACTCCCCAGCCCCTAGCCCACCTCCCCAGCCCCTAGACCACCTCCCCAGCCCCAAAGACCACCTCCTCAGTGCCTAGACCAACTCCCCAGCCCCTAGACCACCTCCCCAGCCACTAGACCACCTCCCCAGCCACTAGTCCACCTCCACAGCCCCTAGACCACTTCCCCAGCCACTAGTCCACCTCCACAGCCCCTAGACCACTTCCCCAGCCCCAAGACCACCTCTCCAACCAGAAGACCACCTCCCCAGCCAGAATACCACCTCACCAGTCCCAAAGACCACCTCCCCAGCCCCAGGACCACTGCCCCAGCCTCTAGACCATTTCCCCAGCCACAAGACTACCTCCCAGCCCGCAGACCACCTCCCCATCCCCAAGACCACCTCCCGAGCCCCTACACCAACTCCCCACACCTAGACCACCTCCCCATCCCCAAGACCACCTCCCCAGCCCCAAAGACCACCTCCCCAGACTCTAGGCCACCTCCCCAGCCCCTAGACCACCTCTCCAGCCCCTAGACCACCTCCCCACCCCAAAGTCCACCTAGCCAGCCCCAAGACCATGTCCCCAGCCAGAAGACCACACCCCAGCTCCAAAGACCAACTCCCCAGCCCCTAGACCACATCCCGAGCCCCAAGACCACCTCTCCAGCCCCAAAGAACATGTCCCCGCCCCAAAGAACACCTCCCCAGCCCCAAGACCACCTCCCCAGCCCCAGAGACCACCTCCACAGCCCCAAAGACCACCTCCCCAGCCCCTAGACCCACTCCCAGCCCCAAGACCACCTCCTCAGCCCCTTGACCACCTCCCCAGCCCACAGACCACCTCCACAGCCCCAAGACCACCACCCCAGCCTCAAGACCACTTCCCCAGCCCCTAGACCACCTCCCCAGCCCCTAGTTCACCTCCCCTGCCCCTAGACAACCTCCCCAGCTGCAAAGATCACCTTCCCAACACCAAAGACCACCTCCCCATCCAAAAGACCACCTCCCCAGCCCCAAAGACCAACCCCCAGTCCCAAAGACCAACCCCCGAGCCCCGAGACCATCTCCCCAGCCCCAAGACCACCTCCCCAGCCCCGAGACCATCTCCCCAGCCCCATGACCACCTCCCCAGCCCCAAGACCATCTCCCCAGCCCCATGACCACCTCCCCAGCCCCAAAACCACCTCCCCAGCCCCAGAGACCACCTCCACAGCCCCAAAGACCACCTCCCCAGCCCTAAAGACCATCTCCCCAGCCCCAAAGACCAAACCCCCAGCGCCACTACCACCTCCCCAGCCCCAAAGACCAACTCCCCAGTCACAAAGACCAACCCCCCAACCCCAAGACCACCTCCCCAGCCCCAAAAACCAACTCCCCAGCCCCAAATACCACCTCCGCAGCCCCAAAGACCACCTAGCCAGCCCCAAGACCACGTCCCCAGCTGGAAAACCACCACCCCAGCCCCAAAGACCTAATCTCCAGCCCCTAGACCACATCCCGAGCTTCAAGACCACCTCTCCAGCCCCAAAGAACACCTCCCCAGCCCCTGTCCCAGCCCCCAGGGCAGGGATGACAGAGGAAGTCACCCCCCCCCAACCACCTTCTGTGGAGCTGTGTCACCAACACAGGCAGTCTCCCCACTCCCCCTGCACACACACCCATCTCCCCTCACATTCCTGTGCACACCCTCTGTCCAAACAACGTGAGCCCTGAGCCCTCCAGGCTGACCACCGCCTTCTTTACCCAGGCTGAGGGGCCCCAACAGGGGACAGCCCCCCTGTGCTGGGGGGCCTACTCTGGGTCTCCCAAAGAGCCCGCAGCCCTTCCCTTCCCCCCCACAGGTTTGTCACAGTCTTCCCACAACAAACAGAGGAGTTGACTCTGAAGCTGCCTCCACCCAGCCTCCACCTTGCCCATCCCCCAGCTCCGGGGGGGAGGGAGTGATGGAAGTTTCTAGAATCAACTCATAGCATATTTTTTAATGCATAAACTAAGATGAAGAGAATCACTAAGATAATGGATTATATTAAATACAGTTCTAAAAACAGTGAAACATAGTAATCTATATATGTTTCTTTATTAACATCAAACAGGATCTAGTAGTGGGCAGTTCCGTAGCAATGACGATGGTAAACGATGTTTCATGACCGACGGTAAACCAGGTTTCAAGACAGCGATCACAACTGCACCGTGATATGAAACCCTCTGTGGTGTCTATTAATGGCAAATCACAGGTACTACCAAGGGTTACAAGGCAATGCTAAATTTCAGTAAAGGTTAGTGAAAAATAAACCCTTCCCATCCGAGTACACGACCCTCTGAATGCTATCCACAGATGCTTGGGTGCCCACGGACCCAGTTAAGAATCCCGCCCTCAGGTAACCACCCCCATCTCTGAGCTCAGGGAGAGAAGGACAGAGGACCGACCAGTCTCCGCGTTGATCCTCTGGAATCCTCCAAGGCCCCTTGCTCCCTCAAATTCACACGCAGCATTTCCCAGCCCAGCAGGATCTGAGGCTTGGAGTGGGACCAGCCAACCAACTCTCCCAAGATCCCCAAGGCCATGGATCTCCCTGGCTGCCATGCCCTTCAATTCAAAGTATCCAGAGTGGGCATTCCAGAGGCCTGCTGAGAACGTGGGGTTCAGCGCCCTGCTCCCAGCCAGTGCCCTGAACCCCAACCCCACAGCATCATTGGTGAGGAAGTGGGGTTTCCCCACACACTTGGAATCTGATCTTTGAAAGAAGGGAAAAAATTGCATCTCTTTAGGGTTTTCATCTCCTAAGGAAAAGTCCTGAATCAGAAAACTCTTGCACCTCCTGCATCCATCCACTCTCCATTATTTTTTT